CCACTGTCCAGTGGCTTCAGACACGACCTGGCCTGCAAGGGCTTTAGTCGCATTCTCCCTTCGAAAATGGCTGAGCTCACAGGTGCTTGGCTACCGGACGGGGGTTACTGCCGATACACGGAAAGCTCGGACACTTAAGGGTGGAAAGAGGTAGCTATCAAAGCGGCGAAATGAGCGACGCCTGCATCTATCTCAATCGACAGGCCCCGCCAGTCTTGTGACTTCGGGCCCTGCATCAATGGTGTCATCGCTGCAACTTGCGCAGGATCGCCCACTGCAATCGTCAGCGCCACCGAAGATACGACAGATACTTGGCCATCCTCGGAACACGCTCCGTTGCACCTCAGACCTAGGAACAGATCGTGACAACTGAGAGGCAGACCTTTACGTATGGAGGAACTCTTATGGTCATCCCCTCCTCTTGGCTTATGGGTGCATAAGCAACTCCTGCCATGCAGTGTGCCACGGCTCAGTGCAAGGGCTAGAACTGCCAAGCTCTTCACTCTCCACAGCGGGAAGCCTGAAAGCGCATCACATGGGAAAAGGACTGTGGCATTCCTGAAATAGCCTTTGGGGCATGAAGCAGATGCCTCAGTCAAACAGGGGCTCAAAACCGTGGCATACGATGTCAGGGTGCTGATGGCGCTGCAGAGCGAGACTTGGACGCTGGCACTTGGCGCATTGGCAGCGCTAGGCGGCAATCCAGTTAAAAGAAACAGAGCAACGGCACTCCATATGACCATTCCGCCGAGACCAAGGCATGCCAAGCTCTATTTTGTCTCAGGTTCTGAGAAGCCCAAGAAACTGCTGCGTTGCTGCACGGTCGTTCTAGAGCTGTGTAGTACTTCGTATCTTTGCATGTTTCGTGCTGCCTCATGCCATGGAAGCCTCTACGCTTTTAAGCCTGTCTTGTAGATCCTGCTTTGTTCCATTGCGTGCTGCTTCAAGGTATCTCCAAACATGTTTTGCATCTTAGGCTTGTTATGGTTAACTGGCTGCATGCTTCCCGCATGACTCCGAGAATATTGCTGAGTGGGTCACCTGCGCCTCAACCCATCAGCTACAGCTACTGGAAGCTGGGCAGCATCGGGCAACGAGCAGATCTCAGTTCAGTTGTTGAGCGCATGCCACCAGATGTAAACAAGCGATTCAGAAGCCAATACCTGCGAATAGTCTCTCTCCTTCGGTTTTCAGGCAGACCGGCCCAGCCCGGACTCACATACTTGGCGAAGTGATGAAAGACCGCAAGTCGGGACGGAGTCGAGGCTAAATTTCATCCGGGATCAAGCTTCCGCTCCCTGTGGTGGTGCGGCCAGCAGACGGATCTTGATTTCAGACATCTCCTGCCAAAGCTCTATCATGCACATCATGAAGCAGCCCCGAGCGAATGCACGGGAAAGGCAAGTGTGGGCAAGACCGGCTGACGGTAGCAAAGCACTGCAAATGTCAGGTGTCCTTCGATACTGTCGGCCTAAGTATACTTTACCACTTGCGCAGCACTCGCGACGTCTCGTGCAACATCCATCACTCAGGTCCCGACACCTGCTTTAAGGCATCGTCTGCCGAGCTTCTGGTAAGCCTTGTGATGCTGTCCTCGAGCGGGATGTCTGCATGAAGGCCAGGGTGACTTGGCACAATCGTATAAGCCGAGCTGTCTGCTGCAAGGCCTTTCTTTGTTTCCTTGGCTGAGGAGGATGAGTCTCAACCCCTTGGCGCCAAATCATAATATCTTCCTGAGGGACGTCGATGCGAGACAAGACTCCCGAGAAAGTTGGTCGGATTCCCATGCCGACAGTGGCATTAGGGAGTCTTCCAGAATTTCCACCTGCAAGCTGGACGAATCTGGCAAATGCAGGGGACCGGCTCTGTCCAAGCGACGATTTCCAAGCATCTGATGCAAAGCATTACGTTGGACCCATCCTGCGAGCTACAATGAAAAAATGCTGAAGCCTTCGCGACAATCTCTTGCAAGTGTTTCGCCTGAGAGCAGAATGGTGCCAGAATTTCTCGGTTGCGTCACCAGCTCTTGAGTGGCATGAACCCCATCAGCATACAAAACACTCTGTAAGTCGGTGCCCTCTGCGTCAGGTCCTGGCCATGTCGGCATCTTCTGCCTGCCAGCTTCGGCAATCTGCTACACTACCAGAACCTACCAGGAAACACGAAACAATAACACAAACAAAACACACGAACGCCAACGAAAATGCGTCTTACATACGTACATGTTTAGGCACAGACCAACAACACTGCACAGATGACGATCGTGACACAATAAGACAGGGACGCTCACTCTTACTGCATGAACACATGCATACCTGCAAATAGCTGTCGTAGTAACAGTAGTAGTAGTAGTAGTAGTAGTAGTAGTAGCAGTAGTAGTAGCAATAGCAGTAGCAGTAGCAGTAGCAGTAGCAGTAGCAGTAGCAGTAGCAGTAGCAGTAGCAGTAGGAGTAGTAGTAGTAGTAGTAGTAGTAGTAGTAGTGGATGTAGTAGTAGCGGT